TATATTATATGTATATATATATATACATATATTTATATATATATAATATATATATATATATATAATATATATATATATATATATATATATATATATATAATATATATATATATATATATATATTATATACATATATATATATATAATATACATATATATATATATAATATATATATATATATATATATATATATATATACTGCATATAGGCCGTCACGAGCTAAAACCAATAACAGGAACTAGCTTCCTTGTGACGCAAAAGCAAAATCAGGAACGCGAGAAACGTAAACAAATTTCGAAAGTGGAATAATTTTATTTTCTTCGGAGTGACAAAGTTTTGAAGTTTTTTTAAGTATGAGAAACGTTATTATTCAGACACCAATGATAAATCGATTATGCATACTATTTTGAAGCATGAGGACACCATATTATTGAGATAACTTGTAGATCAGTTGATAACCGGAAACCCGTACAAAGAGAGGTAATGTAAGTTATATATATAATGTACTTACAAGATGTAGGTATTTAGGGAGATAAAATATCAGTAGATTATGATAATTATCATACTTTTATCACCATTGGTATGCGTAATATCATCGACATCATATTTCCTAAATTATTATATTTTAGGATTTGAAAATGGCGGCAAATCTGAGGATCCCGCCCTTGTGACGTCAAAAGTCTTTCCTTTCTTTCTTCATACAATCAAGTTCATTTTAATACGGTACTGAAATCTAACTTCATGTCTGTCTGTTTTTTTTCTTCTACTACTTTCTAATCTCCACAGTCCGTTTCCTTAGTTTGCCCAAAGAAAAAAGAAAGAATAAAATATAGGCGTGTTTATAATTCCCCCCCCCCTACGCCTCCCTCCAAGTGAAAAATACCTTTCCTAATCGTAAAACACAAATCAACTTTTTTTTTCTTCTTTTCGACGACCATTCACAACTACCCCGCTGTCATTACACCCACTCGAACAAGTGAAAACCTAAAGTCGCCGTCAAAACAACCGAAAGAAGTGTCGCCATTGTGTGTCCCGGATGCAGAAGACCAGCGGCGCACCCCGTGTTGCAACCGTCTTCCTTGCAACACGTAACGCAGTCGTAATTCGGGGCTGAGTAGTCGCAGTGGATTCCTAAGGAGAGCTCTTCTAACGTGCCGAGATTGCAGGGGGATAAAGCACATCCTTTCTGTATCCATCTTTCGCCATTCGCTGAAGGGGGAAAGGAAACGTTGATGTTAGGTTAGGCTGGCAGGTGATCGGGTGTCATTAGTTAGTGTCAAGAGAAGAGAAGGACAGAGGGAAGAGAGAGAGAGAGAGAGAGAGAGAAGAGAGAGAGAGAGAGAGAGAGAGAGAGAGAGAGAGAGAGAGAGAGAGAGAGAGAGAGAGAGAGAGAGAGAAAGAGAGAGAGAGAAGAGAGAGAGAGGGAGGCAAGATACAGAATCGGGTGTCATTAGTTAGTGTCAAGAGAAGAGAAGGACAGAGAGAGAGAGAGAGAGAGAGAGAGGCAGACAGATACAGAAAGTCATTAGTTAGTGTCAAGAGAGAGAAGGACAGAGTGGAGAGAGAGAGAGAGGGGGGGGGCAGACAGACAGGCAGACAGACTGAGACAGAGACAGACAGACAGATAGATTGACCGATTGACTGAAAGACAGAGAGATAGATAATTAGTTAGACGGAGAAAGAGACAGAGGAAGAAAGAAAGAGGCAGAGGAAGAAATAAAGAGACAGACAGACAGATACAGAGACAGCGGCAGAGAGAGAAAGATAAACTGTAGGTATATAAACTATGTTCGAGATGAATAGATAGATAGATTAGCAGACTGAATTTTTGATAGATTGAGAGAGAGAGAGAGAGAGAGAGAAGAGAGAGAGAGAGAGAGAGAGAGAGAGAGAGAGAGAGAGAGAGAGAGGAGAGAGAGAGAGAGAGAGAGAGAGAGAGAGAGAGAACATATCGATAGACAGATAGATAGATTGACCAATTGACTGAAAGACAGATGATTAGTTAGATGGATAGACTGATGGATAGATAGGTAGAAAGATAGAAGCTAGAAAGATACAAAGAGCATTTTGACTGATAGACAGATGGTTAAATAACAGATAGACAGATAGATACATGAGCAGATGGATTGGCGTCTACAAAAATAAAAGAACAATGTTGTTTCATTAAACCAGATCATATCCTGCTTTAATCCATCAATCATTTTTGTATATATAACAAACTCTTTATGTTCGCAGTAGATATGGCTAGTATGATGAAAATAACCCTTATTGGCATAGGACTCTACACAAAGTATGTAGGAATAACACTGTTTAGGAAACTATTTGTTCTTAGTAGCATTGTATTCATGCAAATTTTATGCATGTGGAGAAAGGAAAGAACATATTATTATTATCGTTATTATTGTCCGTCTTATCTTTATATTAATCTTTTATCATTATATATGTATGGCTGAGGCTGAAAGAAAAAAATCTCACCTGCCTTCCTGACTGAAACTGAGAAAGAAATCTCACCTGCCTTCCTGACTGAAGCCGAAAGAAAGAAATCTCACCTGCCTTCCTGACTGAAGCTGAAAGAAAGAAATCTCACCTGCCTTCCTTGACTGAAACTTAAAGAAATCTTACCTGCTTCCTGACTGAAACTGAAAGAAATCTCACCTGCCTTCCTGACTGAACTGAAAGAAAGAAATCTCACCTGCCTTCCTGACTGAGCTGAAAGAAGAAATTTCACCTGCCTTCCTGACTGAAACTAAAGAAATCTTACCTGCTTTCCTGACTGAAACTGAAAGAAATCTCACCTGCCTTCTGATGAAAAAGAAAGAAAACTGCCTTCCTGACTGAACTTAAAGAAATCTCACCTGCCTTCCTGACCTGAAAGAAAGAAATCTCACCTGCCTTCCTGACTGAAGCCGAAAGAAAGAAATCTCACCTGCCTTCCTGACTGAAGCTGAAAGAGACTGACGAAACTAAAGAAAACCTGCCTTCCTGACTGAAGCTGAAAGAAAGAAATCTCACCTGCCTTCCCTGACTGAAGCCTGAAAGAAAGAAATCTCACCTGCTTCCCTGACTGAACTGAAAGAAAGAAATCTCACCTGCCTTCCTCTGAAGCTGAAAGAAAGAAATCTCACCTGCTGAAGCTGAAAGAAAGAAATCTCACCTGCTTCCTGACTGAAGCTGAAAAAAGAAATCTCACCTGCCTTGAAGCTGAAAGAAAGAAATCTCACTGACTGAAGCTGAAAGAAATCTCACCTGCCTTCCTGACTGAAGCTGAAAGAAAGAAATCTCACCTTTGCCTTCCTTGACTGAAGCTGAAGAAAGAAATCTCACTGCCTTCCTGACTGAAGCTGAAAGAAAGAATCTCACCTGCCTTCCTGACTGAAGCTGAAAGAAAGAAAATCTCACCTGCCTTCCTGACTGAAGCTGAAAGAAAGAAATCTCACCTGCCTTCCTGACTGAAGCTGAAAGAAATCTCACCTGCCTTCCTGACCTGAAAGAAAGAAATCTCACCTGCCTTCCTGACTGAAGCCGAAAAGAAAAATCTCACCTGCCTTCCTGACTGAATGAAAGAAAGAAATCTCACCTGCCTTCCTGACTGAAGCTGAAAGAAAGAAATCTCACCTGCCTTCCTGACTGAAGCGAAAAAACTGGAAAGAAATCTCACCTGCCTGCCTTCCTGACTGAAGCTAAAAGAAAGAAAACCTGCTGACACCTGAAAGAAAGCTGCTTCCTGACTGAAACTGAAAGAGAATCTCACCTGCCTTCTGACTGAAGCTGAAGAAGAAATCTCACCTGCTGACTGAAGCTGAAAGAAAGAAACTCACCTGCCTTCCTGAATGAAAGAAAGAAATCTCACCTGCCTTCCTGACTGAACTGAAAGAAAGAAATCTCACCTGCCTTCCTGACTGAAGCTGAAAGAAGAAATCTCACCTGCCTTCCTGACTGAAGCTGAAAGAAGAAATCTCACCTGCCTTCTGACTCTGAAAGAAAGAAATCTCACCTGCCTTCCTGACTGAAACTGAAGAAAGAAATCTCACCTGCTTCCTGACTGAAGCTGAAAGAAAGAAATCTCACCTGCCTTCCTGACTGAAGCTGAAAAAAGAAATCTCACCTGCCTTCCTGACTGAACTGAAAAAAGAAATCTCACCTGCCTTCTGACTGAACTGAAAGAAAGAAATCTCACCTGCCTTCCTGACTGAAAGAAAGAAAGAAATCTCACCTGCCTTCCTGACTGAAGCTGAAAGAAGAAATCTCACCTGCCTTCCTGACTGAAGCTGAAAGAAAGAATCTCACCTGCTTCCTGACTCTGAAAGAAGAAATCTCACCTGCCTTCCTGACTGAAAGAAATCTCACCTGCCTTCCTGACTGAAACTGAAAGAAAAAAATCTCACCTGCCTTCTGACTGAACTGAAAGAAAGAAAACCTCCTCCTGACTGAAAAAGAAAGAAAACCTGACTCTGAAATCTTGCCTTCCTGACTGAAACTGAAAGAAAAAAAATCTCACCTGCCTTCTGACTGAACTGAAAGAAAGAAAACCTCCTTCCTGACTGAAAAGAAAAATCTCACCTGCCTTCCTGACTGAAGCTGAAAGAAAGAAATCTCACCTGCCTTCCTGACTGAAGCTGAAAGAAATCTCACCTGCCTTCCTGACTAAAGAAATCTCACCTGCCTTCCTGACTGAAACTGAAAGAAAAAAATCTCACCTGCCTTCCTGACTGCCTTCCTGACTGAAACTGAAAGAAAGAAATCTCACCTGCCTTCCTGACTGAAGCCGAAAGAAAGAAATCTCACCTGCCTTCCTGACTGAAACTTAAAAAAATCTTACCTGCTTCTGACTGAACTTAAATAAATCTTAATGCTTCCTGACTGAAGCTGAATCTCACCTGCCTTCCTGACTGAAACTTAAAGAGACTGAAGCGAAAGAAAGAAATCTCACCTGCCTTCCTGACCCTCGTCTCGCACCTGTCGTACGCCTGTTTGTCCGGACACTGCATGAGGTACTCTTCTGTGCAGGCCATGTTGTCACTCACGTTGCACTGGTAACACCGCAGGTCGTTCTTCACCGCTCCTGTAACAGGGTGTGTGAAGATGTCAAACAGCAGATGAAGGAATGTAGAAGGATGTAGTCAAACAGCAGATGAAGGAATGTGTAGTCAAACAGCAGATGAAGGAATGTAGAAGGATGTAGTCAAACAGCAGATGAAGGAATGTAGAAGGATGTAGTCAAACAGCAGATGAAGGAATGTAGCAGGATGTAGTCGAACATGGTGGTGTTTGAACAAAATGATAATAGATAACAATGAATAAATAAATATCGGCTATGATTCCTGTCCTGGGGAAAATTCGTTACTGGGAAATCATTTTTTCTCCGGAGTAGATTCCATCTTCTGGGATCAAGTTACGAAGACGCTCCACCTTGTACAAAGCTCACGATGAAGTCCTATAGATAATGTTTTCTTGCCTGTTTAAGAAACACAAACACACAGGATAGAGACAAGAATCTAAACATTTAACTCAACCAAGAAATGAAACCATCTCGCCACACCGATTCTCAGAATGCTTCGAGCAGCCCGACCTAAAGGCAAGAAAACCCAGGTAAACGTTTTTTTTTCGCTGAAAATAAACCTCAAAGAGTTTCTTCTCCTCACCCCACGCCCTCGCAGTGTCAAGCCCTTCCTTTTCCTCAGATACCTGACTCTATTCAAGACTCCATACCTGAGATCAAGGCAATTTCCTGTACAGACCAGACTCAAATTTCTCGAGCACC